CAGCCGCGGCCCGCTACCAACTGGCACGACGACGGGCGGTAACCAAGCCAGCCATAATGAAAGTTTACAGCACTGCTAACCGCGTGAGGTTAGACGCCAGCGCACTTACCTGTTGCAGATGCGCCGACAGCAGCGCCCTTGCGCCAAAGACAGCGAGCGAGCGGGTGGGAGTGGTTCGTCAGCAACCAGCCATTCATGTCGCGGACCGCATAACCGCACTGGGTAACGCGCGAAACTGGTTGGTTGCCAGCGAGTCAGCACGGCCGTCATCGCAGGCCCGGGATCCATCCAGCGCCAGCCCGCGCCGCCCTCACCTCCGTCCCTGCCCTCCAAAGTCATCCCAGCACCTGTACCGTGCCAACTGGAGCGTCAAACTCTCTCGTACCTACCTCTCTCCAAACAGCTCTACGTCCGCTGTTCTGACTTGTGCCTACCTCTCTCCAAACAACTAGACGTCTACGTCCGTTGTCCTACCTTCCACTGACTAGTGCTCCTACTACCAAGGTAAAGATGGAGGACTGGGCTCCCTCTTCGGCTAATATCTGCAGATGGGCCGGGCCGACCGCATCCGGGCTAAGCGTAAACCGCATAAACGCGACAGGCCCGGGCACATGTATGTGCACCGCGTGCGTATGGGTCGGGGGATGCCGATGATGGTCAAGATCGGCCATTCGGTGGACGCGACGCGCAGGCTGGCTCAGCATCGTCGCCAATGCCGCGGCGTCCGATTCATCTGACTACTGGTCTACTGGACACAATTGCGTATTCATGCGGGTAAGTTTTCTTTCTTTGACTCTGTTGCTAGCTAATCGAAATAGAACGAGTATTACACGACTATTTCGACCACAAACTAAACGTGTGGATACCTCGGGTGAAGTGCACGGGGTGCCCCTGCACCCACACCGAACTCTTCGACGCTGGGATATGTAGAAGTAAAAGGAAGCTGGCGAAGGGCATCAAGCGGGCCGCACGCAAGGCGGGAATTATGTTATGGAAATTATGAAATACTGTATGCTTACGTACCTTGCTATATGCTTACTCATATGATATACGCTTACTCAATCGGACGACCTCATCCGCTTCGAAGTAACTCGGTCCATTGGTATCCTACCTACATTAAGCCCTACCCTCTGCTGCGTCCTGTGCTTAAATCGGAAGAAATTTGTTTTGAAATCGTTCTCACTTGGAAAGAGCTTCAGCAGCCAACTTCTCTTGATCTGCTGCGTCCTGTGCAGCCCGTTGACTGGCTACAAGGGCTTCCGCCGCCGCGTCGGCCGCCGCATCATTGGCGACATCAGCAGGACTGGTGGTGAAAGGATTAAGCATGAGTGTAAGTGGGTATTATAGGATTATACGGTCCGTCATGCTCAGCGGGGGGCAAAGTTGGCTTCTTTTTACCAAAGGCAAGCATATTACTGAGGGAAGGACGAGGAGGCGACGAAAGTCGTTATTAGTCGTGAAGAACGAGTGGGGAGTTAGAGGAGCAGAGGCAAGCCTGGGGAAGGCACATGACGTTCCGTGTGTCCGGCAAGTAAGTATAGATTCGATCGTCACTGCCGCGATCGCGTTAGAGCAACCCATAAAAGGACATTCTTCTCGGCGCAAAAAAACTGCTTGGTTGTTTGTTTGTCTGGCTGAGCGAAAGAAAAGCAAGGTGTTGAAAAAGCGTTGAAAGACTCAGCTGCGATGATGTCATGCATCAAATGGGTCCCACGTTCGTTAACTCCACGACTGGACTTCCGTCGACTGTGAGAATCCAAGTCGTTGCACTGAAAATAACAAGAACATCCCAATCATATAGTACATTAGCACGTCGAGTACGTATAGAATGAAATAAATCGCTTCCTACTCAATAGCCTCACCGTCGTCGCTATCGTCCCGTTGATTAGCCTGTCTCCGTCGCTCGCGGTCTTTGATCAGTTTCGCAAGCTGTGGATTGGGCTTGCACTGAGCTAGGGTAAGCTGCTTGCTGCAACCGGCTGCTGGGCATTTCTCTTTCTGCTTTTTAGAAAAGTACTCCTTGATGGCACTGCCAGAGTAGGAATGTTTGCAGACGGTCCTGCATAATAGCTGGAACGCAACTAGCAATTCAGTGAGAACGACGTACGAGGTATATGGATCTGAGAGGGTAGTCATGAGGAGAGGACACTTGTAGTCTTGGCTGACACCGCCAATGATAATCTCGTCGTCGTCGTCGCTCTCATCACCGTCCTCTGTGGGTACATCACTAAAAACAACTGAGAAATCGAGAGGCCTACTCACCACGCGGGATGAAGTCAGTCATTGGAGGCATCGCATCCTCAGTATTTTGAGCATTCTATTCAGGGTGAGTAGGACGCGCCAACAAGAGATGATCCCACATACCCATACTGACTGTCTGAAGCTAGTATATTCTTCATGATTGGCATACTTCTGCCGGGACGTCTCGGTGTCGTATTTTGCGTTGGCCGCATCTACAGCTTCGAGGTATTGATTTTTCACATCGGTCTGCAGAATGTTCAGACGGTGTTTGCATATATAGGGTATCAACTGACAATGGCCTCTCCGCGGAAGATAGCTTGGGCAATGTCGGTTAATGCATGGCTATGGAAGCCGACTAAAGCCTCTACGTCGATGAAATCTCTCATAAGATGGTCGAGCTGTGCCAGACTCTAGGGGAACATGTGAGAAGGAGACGCGTCCACTTATTATGAAAGACAAACCTCGTCCAAAGCGTCCGATTGAGAGTCAACCATGGCGCTTGCAGTAGATCCCATCATCTCAGCAACCCTTTGAACCACGGACGACGCGTTTTTCCAGTCCTCAGAAAGGCCGTTGAGCTTGGTGCAATCAGCGCGAGTAAGGGGCTGGGCAGGGAAGTTGGCAATGTCGATAACATCATCTTCGTCATCTTCCTCCATAGGCTGGACTTGGGCTTCCTGTTTTGCTTTCTTTTTCCCTTTTGTCTTTTCCTGTTTTGCGATGAGCGGTTCCTCCTCGTCAGAATCAACATCTTCGCGGCCTTTGGTGCGTTGGGTCCCGTTGTCTTCCTCGATATCAGATGAGGGCTGCCGGCCGTGCTGTCTCTTGCGACGAGCGGTGGTGGCGACGGGCATACTGGTCGTAGAGTCAAGACGCGCTCGTCACATTTGATGGTCACACCAATGGCTCTCAGTGGACCGTCAGCTCTGCGGGACGTCGTCAATCCTCAATTCCACCAGAATAATTTCCCTGCAGGTACGCGGTATTTTCAATGCCTGCTCATCCTGACCTGCCATTTAGAAAACTATATCAAGTCTGACCTAGGCATCAAACTTGACAAAGGTGTGTTTCGTACTTTCTATGAGTCCGCTTTGGGCTTACTCCACCAGACGATCAAATATGTAGACTTGCGCTCACTCCAGCTGGCTGCCCTCTTGGTCCTCTTCATTGTCCACTACGCCATACCCTTCCTTCTGTACAAAATTTCCAGCCACCAAAGCAACAAGCGACCCACACCCGCGACCGGCTGACTACCGTCTGCAAGCATTGGCTGCGTGGTCTTTGCAAGAAGGGTGATGCCTGCGAGTTCCTTCACGAATACAATCTAAGACGGATGCCGGAATGTTGGTGGTATGCCAAGTACGGCTACTGTTCGACTGGAGAGGAATGTCTTTACGCTCATCCTAAAGAGCGACGCGTTGAATGTCCCGACTATAATCGGGGCTTCTGCAGACTGGGTGAGTTGTGATGTGCACTGTGTTTGATTACTCACCACCGAGTTAAAGGCCCATCATGTCCACGAAAGCATGTCCGGCGAGTTGCTTGCCAAAACTATCTGACTGGCTTCTGTCCGCTGGGACCAGATTGCCCACGTGGCCAGTGAGCAGGCCGTCGTATTGTGTGTTGCTCATCTTTAACGCGATCTTAGTCCCAAACCAAATATCCCACCTCCAGAAGCGTATGAGACCCCTGCTCCACCAACTCTCGAGGGACCTCCACCTGCTGGTATGGCCAGATTTGAACCTTTTGGAGGCGGCTTCACGGGTCCCGTCCGCAGAAACTTGGACGAGGTAATGTGCTTCAAGTGCGGGGAGAAAGGGCATTACGCAAATCATTGTCGGAATCGAAATGTGAGGCCTTTTTCTAACTCGTTCTACTGAATTAACCTTAATTTCAGGTCCCAGGGAACCGTGGAGGACTCGATAGAGTGACTGGGAAACGGTACGACGAGTAAATGTAGCAAATGTTCACAAACAGAACGAAGTTCGTGGTTCACAAACAGAACGAAGTTCGGAGTTTGTGCTTATGGGTGACCGAAAGTGGGACTGAGTGCTTATCTAAAAGCACACTCGTCAGCAGCTCTGGATCGGTCTTTGATAATCAATCACCACAATCACAGGCTATCGCTCCCGGCATGCTGCGGCATCGTGTCCCCGTTCGTATGCAGGTAAAGGGAAGGACGGGATCATTGAGCGTGTGGCAACCGCGGTACTGCGGCTGGACTCCGGCACGCCTGCGGCCCAGAACGGTCAGTATTCACCTGTCAAGAGGAGTTGGAACAAGAAAGCACTGGCAGTCAAAGGTAGTGTACTTTTATTGTACAACATGACGCGGACGTTCTGTTTGTACTCCGCCGCGTGTCGGCCTTATTTCATTTGTGCTAGTGGTGACCAGAAATGAGACTGACCGCTTATCTAAAACCACACTCGTCAGCAGATCTGGACCGGTCTTTGATAATCAATCACCGCAATCGGCTATCACTTCCGGCATTCTGCGGCATCGTGTCTCTGTTGGTGATCATTGACCTCAAACCACGCCGCTGTACTCGGCAGTTGCATGCGGCATGGCTGCGGCCCAGACCGGTATTCAGCCATCACGAGGAGTTGGATAACAAGAAAGCACTGGCAGTCAAAGATAGTGTACTTTTACTGTAAGTTACAACATGACGTTCTGTTTGTCTCCGCCGCGCGTCGGCCTTATTTCATATTGGTAGCCTATAGATTCTATGTCACGTGCACGCCTTTTTCTTGCTTCCGTCTATGTTTGCCGCCCTTCGTCTCGGACGCCAGTTGGCTCTGAGAGCACCTCCGAGGCCCTCGTCCACAGCTGGGCCCTCCAGAATACTACTTCAATCACAACTCACCCTTCCCCGCTCTTTCCACGCGACTCCGCCTGCATTTGTGACTCTCAACCAGTCCTCGAAACGCAAGCGCAACGCGCGTCGTGTCGCCAAGTCCAAGTCGCCTCTTCTCAATAACTCGCCTCAGCGAAAAGGCGTCTGCATTCAGGTGTTTACCGCCAAGCCCAAAAAGCCAAACTCGGGCAAGCGTAAAGTTGCTCGAGTAAAGCTTTCGACGGGGAAAACATGCCAGGCGTATATCTCTGGCGAGGGGCATAACTTGCAAGAGCACAGCGTCGTACTGGTCAGATGAGGGAAGGCGCAAGATTTGCCTGGTGTCCAGTATGTTTTTTGTTGTAATTGTGGTTCTAAAAACTTATAGTCCCACTTTTCTTAGGTACAAAGTTGTTCGTGGCGCCTTAGATCTAGGAGGAGTGGTCAATCGTGCTCGTGCTCGGAGTCGTTACGGGTTCGTCTTCTTCTGCCCTCCATTTTGTTGCTCTACTAACGTCGCGTGTTTTACAGTGTCAAGAAACCTAAGAAGTAAGCTATATGGATACAAGTTGGCGTGTAGTTGGATACAGTCAGTTCTAAATGCGCAATGATGTGGTGAGTCCTGTTGAAGAAATGAGAGTTGGCCTGATCATGCATTTTCAGCCGCCTCCACTGCTGCCATGAAGCCCTCTACTAGGGCTGCTGTCTCTTCTTGCTCGACGCTGACCCTCACCATTGTTTCCTCCACACCGAATCGTGCTGCCCAAGCCATCTCTGTGTAATGAACAAGGACTGCGTAGGGGCAAGCCAAGGTAAAGCTTGTCCCCAAACTGGGTCCTTTAAAGAAAGGAAGTGCATCGAAGAAAGCCCGTGCTGCTGGGAGAGACGTGAATGTCACTGAAAACAGTCCGCCGTAGCCGCCACTCTCCTGCCCGTTGTCTCGCTTGATGCGACACTTCTCGTAGTTCTCTGGCGTGACGAACTTGGGATAAAAGACCTGCTTGACAACTGGATTCGATTCTGTGGTCTTGAGTTGCAGAAACTGGCAGACGGCCAGTGCGTTGTCGTCGATGACCTTGACGCGCCGGTGGAAGTCGCGTGAGTTGCGCTCCATGTAAATCACGTCTTGGCCGAAATAGGCGTCCTCTTCGAAGGTTGTTTCAAGATGTGCCTTGAGCAGGTTATATCGTGTGCCTTGTGGGTTCAGACACAGGCTAAGGGAAGCTATAAACATATCAAAAGGAAGGAATAATTCTTACGCTCCGCCCATCACATTTGAATATCCACTAAACACCTTCGTCAAGCTGCTGACTACAATGTCGGCGAACGGGAACACCTCCACATTCAAAAAATTGCCGACAGTTTCGTCGACAACGAGGAGGAAGTTGTATTTGTCAGCCAGAAGACGGAGCCGGGAAAGGTCAGTTGAACGCAGCAATGGATTAGAGGGGAATTCGGTGTACAGTGCGAGGATGGGTGGCCGAGTCGGGTCACGAGCTGATTCTTCCTCCAGAAGCTCCTCCAGGCTGTCGATATTCGCATCACCGATGAAATGGCAACCGGGACCCCACTTTTGGAGGACCTTGAGGGTGTCTGTGTAGGGGAATCTACCAGAAAAGTGTTTAGCGTCAATCAAACAACACTGGATTGTAATACCCGAGGCAAACAGATTTCTGAGCAGGCAGAGCCCCCAGGATGAGCTGGTGCGAGCTCCAAATCGCCGCCATCCCAGTCGGGTAAAGGAATACATCGTTCTCTGAGAAGTTGCTGACTCCACGGGAGCTCGGCCCGAGAATGGCGTTGTCGTCGCCAGCACCTGGTTCGTCAGAACCGTCACTGTAATTGTCACGCAAAAGAACACCAGCAATACGTCTCCGCAGAGCTCGTTTTGCGGATGCGGCCAAACTGAAGGGTAGATTTCGTCCGTAGCGCTCTTCGAGGTAGACAGAATGATCTAAGCTGAGGTTATCCAGAGCAGGAGCAATTGTTTCCACAGGGGAAGCCGATGGCGGGCTGCCTTTCCGTGCCGAATAATGCTTGTGGTACCATTTTCGGGGGTGTGTGGATACCGTTGGTGGGGGAAGCGGGGTCGTCTGGGAGAAGGGAGAGACAATGTTCGGCGAGACGACTTGAGATGCCGAGTCCAGCGTGTTGCCAGAATTGTTTTGCAATCGGGAATATGTTAGCCGGGAAAAGAACGATGTGGAGGTTTGCTGGGGCTGAAGAAATCAAAGCGCGGTCCTCATGGGGGTGCTTATCCTCCGGGCAGATAGAGAAGTGGATCAATCGCGGTGTAACAGGTTCTGCCGAGCGAGTCTGTATGAAGGTGCGGCATTAGCTTGCTACTCTGGCGGTTGGAAAGAGCAAGCATTTTTCGTTTCGCGTGCCAAACTTCTGTTCGCATATCTTCGCTAACTATTTGTGTTCTTTTGAGTTGTGAAGCGCGACAAGAGCAGAGCCAACCTTTTGTATACTGTAGCATTTTATTCAATTCGGCGGTCACGCGTCACACCGGCCCTCCGGCGCCGAAATATTTCAGCGTGTCACGGGCCCACAGCCAGATGCCGAATGTCAAATGCCCATCAAAGCATCAAAAAAAAAATTTGGCGGCCCTCCGGGCCGCTAAATAGGCCGAAAAATTTCGGCTGTCACACACATCGACAGGCAGCGCCGAAAATTTAATTTCGGCGCCGATGTCACACCATTTTGGGGCGCCGAATTGAATAAATTACTACAGTACTGCGGTGAATGAAGAAGCGAGGGTATCCTGTGGTCATGCTTTCCAAAACGCGTTTTTCTTGCTCTTCATAGCTAATAACATCACTCCATAATGGAAGCGAAACACTGATCGCGTGTGCCGTATATGGGGGCACAGACAACCCAAGAGCCAGCTGAACAATGAGCGCCTATCGATATTGCAAGTCGCAAAAGTACCTGGGATGATGACGCCATGGTGGTGCAGAAATGACTCATGCTTTAGGCCAAAAGTTTTTGCGATTCGGATCACAAAGCCATCGGCCGAAGCACAGAGCTACGCTTTCGCTCAAAAAAGGTAATTGCAACATGCTATTTGGAGACAGCGGTATAGACAACCCCTTCAAGCTCAGCCCACACCCTCTGAACTATCTCGTCCCCGGTGGGAGCCAACCTGCGTTCCAAACACCATGGCGACTCCGCTCGCTGGGTCGATGAAGTAGCTTGTTGATGCCCAACCTCCCCAGAGACCCGATCCTTTCTTCCGATGACCTGGTGCATCAGCAGTTAAAACGGCGAGACCATTTCCAAACTGCGCATTTCCGATAGGAACGCCAATAGAGGAAAATACAGGACTGGTGATTAGAGCAGCTTGTTCCGCACCAGCAGGAGTAAGTGTCTCTGCGAATAGAGAGGCAACAGAAGACACTGAGAGGATTGGATTGGAGGCAGTACCAGCTGTATTACTGTTAGTTTGCCTTTGTCATTTTATGCGTGCATTCATTTCTTGCCCAGTATCTCGAGGAGATGTTGCAGGATCTTCAAATAATCTTTCTGGGTTGCATATAGGCCGACTCCTCCGAGATGAACTTTGACTGAACAGCAGTTTAGACCGAAATGAAACGAGAGGCGGCTTTCCATACTATGGGCTGGTTCTGTTTCGATCACAGGAGGGCGTGGCCATCTTTCGATTGTTCCATCCGGGCGACGGAGAGACAATGGTAACAGCCTCTCCTTAAGCTCCGGAGTGAGATAAAACGAGGCTGAAGTGACTCCCAATGGCGAAAATATGTACTCCTTGCTGGGTATGGTATACGTAAGCAGTTGCCAGGAGGAGGAGGAAGGAAAGCATACAAATATTGTTCAAGGGATTGACCAGACAGTCTCTCCACGATAAATCCGATACAGTCACTCGAGAACCCGTAAGCAACTGAAGAGAGAATCAGAAATGGCAGCGGTATTTTGTCAGAATCCTACAACTAGTCCCGGGATCGAATCTAAGGGGAACACCGGCGAATGGACCCTACCAATAGTCATCAACATTATGTAGGATGAATGGCTGCATGACTGCCATGACAAGGACCTGGAGAATCTTGAAGAACTCCGACACATCTTGATCCTTGTAGCTGTGTGAATAGGTATCATGCATCACTACAATTAGAGTCAAAGCGAGGCCACAAAGAATGATCGGGAGGCATACTGATGCCGCTCGCAAATGTGCGTCCATCTACGAAGTAGTCCAATCCGCTGAAGAAGGCGAATGTAGTCCAAGCGAGGACTACTTTAGAGGCCAAGGCCGTATCGAGCTGATGCTGCGGGTGGAGTAGAAGGGTGGATGTAGTTCTGGAAAAATGTACTCAGCTCTGGGGTGAATAAGAATATATCTGGGCTCGCGCTCGCTATTCTGCGCTTTCGCTCACGCAGGCTCAAAACTCCGAGATGAAAGAGGGAAGCAAGGAAGATAAGATTCTCCTATCCGAATCTGAGACCGTAACTTTGCCGTAACTACGTGATCGGAAGGGGTACAAACAAATGAAATAAAACTAAATTGGCCATGTGTAAGAGATCCTGGCTCTACTCTGACCACATGTCCACACAGAACCGTTTTTGGTCTTTGATGAATGGGAATGCGCGCTGCTGCCCTCAGCGAAGACATTGGGGGACCAAGCCAAGTCTTATACCCAGTCCGACTAGCTCTGTGCGTCCAGCGGCAGCTTTGAGTTCGGATATTTTGAGATAGTTGTGGAGTAGGGAGGAGATAGGAATTGAGATGTCGAGTAAATCAGAGGTGGCTGTTATCGCCCGATAAGCGCGACCCGTGAATTGCGCGTGACCGTGGTGGCGACGTGGCGGCCACGAGACACTACCACACCGCTCGAGTGATTGAGAAGCTGGCCAAAAGTGATTTTTCCCACCGCTGGTCTGGATGCAGTTATCGCAGGACCCGGGAAGCTCCACCAAAGGGTGGTTCAAAAAATTTCCGGATTTTGGCCTCAAAAACCCATTTTTTGGGCCCCCCAAACCCATTTTTGAAGAAGGATCGTGACATGTCACCGTGTGACACTTGCTAAAAATGGTAATTCTTGCAGGTGTCAAAAAGTGTCTTGCGCCGCTTTTACCTTTGAACTAACACTCTTTGGGGTGATTTCCCTCCCAAAAGGCATCTGGTACTCAGTTAGATGCTGGTGCACATGTCAGTCTAAAACTTTCCTGTGAACCTCCCTGGGGCCTAAAAAACCCATATTTTGAAGAAGGTTTTCAGAATTTTTGTCTCAAAAACCCATTTTTTTGGACAAGGAAATCGCGATTTTTGGGCCTCAAAAACCCAAATTTTTGAATCACCCTTTGGTGGAGCTTCCCAGGTCCTGTTATCGCGCCGGTGGCATCATTGTCGGAAATTTTTTTTTTGCCTGAAAATGCCAAATTAGGCAATTTAAGGCTGCAAGGCAAATCTGGCTCAAAAGGCGGTTCATATTTCATAAGATCACATCATGTTGCCAAATCGACGTGATCTTGCCAAGATGCCGCAATCTTGCCAAATTAGGCCAACTTTATATGGCATTTTATACTTTGACGTCCACTTACAATATAAGCCAATCTTTGCAAGAGAGAGTGTTCTTATAAGGCATTTTGAGACTGAGCTTTATTAAAAGGCTATATAAGGTGTCCTGTAGTCATGGCCAAAAAAAGTCAAAAAGAAACAGCTTCTTTTTGTAGTCATTTGTTACAGTAGTGATTACTAGTCATTATTTGTTGTACTGAACCGAAGCTATCTAAGGAAGTAATGAAGGAGTAATTAAGGACTTATAATAGTATGTTTACAGGAGGATTCGAACCGAGGGTACTACAATACGGGAAAGGTAAAAGACAATCTAGACTACATATTCATTTATATGAAGGGAGAGTATAGCATTACATGGCTTTCTAGAGTGGGTACTCATTGGTAAGCAACAGGGAATACCAATGGCTGAAACACAAAAGCTCACACATGAGCTTCACTGCCAGTTGGATTCATGAGTTGTTGAGTGGGGGGGTAAGTATTTAAGGCTACAGGGGTGAGATACAGGACAATGTAGTGAAGTACTTCTAGTGTCTAGGTTAGGCGTCATGCAATATAGAACCACGTCGGGCATTGACTCCTTCTTCTCGTCGTCCTTCCTCTCCTCAGCGGGAGCTTCCGATGACGCGGCATGCTCAGCGTTCTTCTTCTCGTAGAGCTTTTGAAAGCCGAGCGAGGCAACCTGGGTTTCATCCATCTTGGTCTTGATGGCGGTATCGAGTTGGTCCTTGAACTCGTTGACCGAGTTCTCGGTGTCCACGCAGAAGGAATTGGCCTTGTTAGACAGTTTGATGAGGTCGCGGCGCTCCTTGTCCAACTTCGGTGTCAGAAACCATCTTGCTGATGTCGTCCTTGCTTAAACATGAAGAAGGGACAATGGTGATAGACTGGTCCCTTCTGGTGGCCTTGTCCTTGGCAGAGACGTTGACAATACCATCTAGCAACAGGTTGATTAATTTAGTTGACGAAAAAGATAAATAGGCCCACCAGCATCGATGTCGAAGGTAATTTCGATTTGGGAGACACCTTTGGGAGCAGGCGGAATGCCAACCAGGTTGAAGTTACCAAGGAGCTTGTTATTCACAACAAGTTCACACTCGCCCTGGTAGATCTTGACCTCGATAGCAGTTTCACGATCAGCAGCAGTCGAGAAGACCTGCGACTTTTGTAGTAGGGATGGTCGTGTTGCGAGTGATGAGATGGTCATGATACTGCCAAGAGTTTCGATACCTGTGATGACCCCGTCAGTCTAAACTCGAAAAGACAGAACTGGAACAACTTACTAAGGGAAAGACGCCGTAACATCCAAAAACAGAACATCCGTAACATTGCCCACCAAAAACACCACCTTGGACACTAGCGCCAATAGCGAGAGCCTCGTCAGGGTTAACACCCTTGCTAGGATCGCCCGAAAACGCTCTTGACAGTCTCCGTGACACGGGGCATACGGGTCATACCACCGACAAGGATAACCTGGTGGACATCGCTGGGCTTGACGCCAGCATCGGACAGGGCCTTCTTGCAGCGAGCGACAGTGCGTTGGATGAGGGAAGAAGTAAGGGCCTCAAATTGCGAATGGAGCAGTTTCGTGTTGATATGCTTGGGACCAGTTGCGTCGGCGGTGATAAACGGCAAGTTGATTTCCGTCTGGGCGGTTGACGAAAGCTCAATTTTGGCCTTCGCTGCCGCTTCACGGATACGCTGGATGGCCATCCGATCGCCATTGAGGTCAATACCGTGCTCGGATTTGAATTCCTTGAGGATGTGGTCAACGAGGAGAATGTCGAAGCCCTCATCACCAAGATGGTGTCGTGTTGGTGGACTTGACTTCGTAGACGCCGCCGTCGGCATTTCGATAATGGAGATATCGAAAGTTCCACCACCAAGATCGCAGACAACGACAATTTTGGCTTTACTGTCTTTGTCCAGTCCGTAGGCGAGAGCCGCCGCCGTGGGTTCGTTAATGACACGAAGGACATTCAGTCCAGCAATTTGTCCAGCATCTTTAGTCGCTTGTCGTTGAGCGTCGTTGAAATGGGCCGGGACTGTGATGACAGCGTGGTTGACTTTCTGGTTCAGGTATTGCTCCGCCGTTTCCTTCATCTTGGTTAACACCATGGAAGGAAGTTCCTCTGCTGACTGTCGACAATCATCAGCTTGGAGCCATTAAATTTGGAAGAAGAACATACAAAAGTTTTCTTCCCTCCATCATACTCAACCGGGAACAGCTGGCCTGCCGTCACGCTTGCTGATGACGATAAATGGCCTCCAAACAATTTAAAAGTCACTAAGGAAAGAAAACACATTGACGAACACACCAGTGTTTTGCGGTCGTCGGTCGTCGGCGACCTCCTTGTCAGTGAACTGCCTCCCAATAAGACGCTTGAATGCGAAGACGGTGTTCGTCGCATGGACCACGGCTTGTCGTTTCGCGGGGAGACCAACCAGTCGCTCGCCATGCTTGGCAAAGGCGACGACAGAAGGTGTTGTGCGGGCACCCTCCGAGTTCTCAATGACGCAAGACATCTCGGCACAAGCACAAGAGTTGGTTGTTCCCAAGTCGATGCTAACGAATGGTGGTTAAGTCAGAAAAAAGTTGTTGGCAGATTCAGACTACGGATCCATACCGATGATCCAGAGTTTGTGGAATGAGAGGACTTGGCTCCCTAGAGAGCATTGCCATGAGAGAGCGTTGAACAGCGAAAGGCGACTACTTACGCCTTGGGCGCGCGAAGGGGCCGTTGACACTCTGGATTCCCCCGCAGTTCCATTTGTGCTTTCCTCCCTTCCAACCAAAGAGCCCCAGACTTCCGTTTCATTTCGCAACGTCTGAATCCTCGTCGGCGTCGTCGTGTGGTGGTGGTTTGTGAAGAAGCATTGACATTGACATGATTTGATCCGAATCGAAATCGATCACATGCCTGCTTGTAGACGCGTTCGTCACGAACGCCGCACGCCGCTGTGCCCGTAAAATCTAAACACAAATAGAAAAAGGCTTGCACAGATTCAATTCGCGTTACTAGTAAGTCCGTCTTACATGTAAATGATGTTAGCAGCAACAATAATATCAAGTACCAACTTCCTTCACCCACTAATCAGAACCGCCTTCAACAACCACTCGGCGTCGAGGAACAGGTCGAGACCGTGGTGGGGGTGCCAGTGGGATGCTCTCTTCCTCGACTTCGACAACCGGGACCTCGCGTTCCTTGCCTTTTCTACCCGCACCCGCGCCACCGACCCTTGCCACGAACGCTGCCTCTTTTGCCTCCTCGAGCTCTAGCTCCACCTCCTCGAGCTCTTTTCGCCTGTGCGACGACAGGAGTTTCTACTTCTCCTCCGTCGTCGCTCTCGGGAGGCTCAGTCAAGTCGCTCATGGTGGAAGCGATCGAGAGTGCTCCACGTGGCATGATTGCGGGGGCTGGAATGGTTGCGGTGTTGGAGGACGATTGACGTGGTACTCGTTGGCTAATATTCTCTGCTAACTCTATGATGGATTAGCATAATCACTGCTGAACACGAAAACTTACCTGGATCCTGGCTCGTGCCTGCAAATTCCGGACTGTCATCCACCCACAACCCAATGGAAGGCCTAAAGTATTCTCCCGGCGTGACAGGTGGTAGCGCTGGCTGTATATCGTCTTCATCTAGAGTGATATCTTGCATCATCGCATTGAAGTTTTCGTCCTCGTCCGAGTCGTCTGGATGGAGAGTCGGGGCGATAAGAAGACTCAACGCTGTCGATACACCTGCGAACGTGATATCCTTCCAGAAGGGCAGGATTCGATTCTGTATTCGAGGAGTTTCCCAATTCATCCGCAGATTTCGAACAACTTTGTCGAATATAGCGCCAAGATTCAACTTGCTTTGACGCCCAATTTCTTCGAAATTTTCGTTTTTTCCGGTGTCTTTGGTGAAGAAGATATGAATCATCTATATTCGGGTGAGTTTGGAGTGCAAAACGGGTGAATAAAGCTGACCGTGATGACGGTTAAGCCTATTGCACCGACGGTTGGATCTTTCACACCCCATTTAAATCCCAAAGTCTTGCCCGAAGGGACATTACGACCATCGCCTTTCAAGCTCCCATGAGAGAAGAGTATATATCGAAGCACCTGTAAACAAAAATCAATTGAAAGCCTGTGGCGTAATCATAGCGGGCAACTTACGAATGGACCCAGTGGGTTGAGGTAACGGTCCTTCTCCTGTTTTCCAAGGTTTCGATGTAAAAACGGTGGGAAGGCGGTTTGGGGTGGTTGAGATATATCCTCGCCAGCTAGGGCTCCAACTATTTAGTTTTCATTTACATCTCCAGGTAAACTAAACGGAAATGGTAAGAAAACGTTTAGTAAACGTTTATTACCATTTAAAAACGGTTAAAAATGGTAATATAATAATATAGAATAATCAACAATTTTATGGTACATACTTGAGTTTATAAGGTTTATTTAACTGAAAGATGTAATTTTCTCACTTGTAATACTATTCTAGATGGGCATGTAGGTCAAGATTCATTGCTTTTGACTGATTTGATGCTGGATCATGTGATAGATTCCTTCAAGAGGAAGCCTACAAATGCAACAACTATCCATATCCATGTAGGATGTATGTTGCACACTAACCTAACCCTAACCCTTATGCATTTGGTAACCAGACATATTCCTAGTAGTAACATAGTGATGAGCTTGTCTGATATTGTTATTAGGGAATAACCATTTAAACCATTTGTTTTCATTTATTTACCATTTACATACCATGGTAAACTAAATGAAAATAAAAACGGTTATTACCGTGTACAAACGTTTGTACACGGAAATGGTTGGAGCCCTATCGACGCCAGCGTGGTATAGAAGTTTTTTGTAGTCGATGGACTGAAGACCAGCAAGCTCTACAAGTCGAGGGAGACTCTGTCGCAAGCCGTTGATGATGTTCGATCACTCGGCACTTTGATGATGGAGAAACTTGAACAACATTAAGAATGAAAAGTCTTGCGTCAGTATGAACCTACCTCCTTCGCAAATCCAGGGAACAGTGCAGCATCGACCAGCTTGTGGAGTTGTTCGGGGATTGCCCTATAGAGCTCTTCCGTTCGGTATTGTGAGAGTAGAGTAGGATTTCCGTATACTTCTTTGACGTTCGCGGCCCCTTGGATTGATGGGGGATTAGTTGGACGAGCAGTGAAATTCGGCTGTCGAAGGAAGGGGAAATAGAGGATGGTGTGCTTTTTGCCAAGTTCCATTGCTGCCGCTTTGTAGTCGAGGATATTTTCATCGTCTAAACCATCTGTTTCTGAATCCTGTCCAGTAGAAATTGATGCTCCATTGGTAGTCGATGCTGGAGCTGTCTGTGTAGGTCCAGATCTAGTAGATGAGGCCTGAAGGGCCGCCAGCTGCTGCTGAAGAGCATCGATGGTCTAGAAAATTTGTCGATTTGATATAAATGTCTCGTGGCCGGGAAACAGAGACCTACCTTTCGATAGTCGTCCTCTGTTGCACCCGACCTTGGCTGAGTGAATCGATGATCCAGTCGGGGACGAGAGGCCATGCTCGAGGGGTCAGTCGTAGTCACAGTGGAAGCACAAAGAGAGAAATTAATGTGTCGTTGATGCAATCAAATTAAACCAACCCTGGACCTACACGATGTTCTAATTATATCTAATATGTCGAATCCGAGGCCAAAGCAAGACAGAAAACCTGTGAACAACCTAAGTTATCGTTTTTACAAGTCTCCAGGCCCAAGTATACTCGCGCTGTGTCTTGCGCCGCTGCTAATTTTAAATTATTGCCAGTAACCAATCGAAAACCCCCCCGAGTTTAGTGCTGCAGCAGGCAGAGGTCAACGACTGCATGATAACCGGAAGGATAGTGATGTTTCTGCAAATTGCGTCGGACGTGGAGCTGAAGAGGCGGCGAGGATGCGACAGTTGCCAGGTATCTATGAGACGACCGATAAGTCCACAAGAAGGATGTCAATAGTCTGAGATCCACAAGGTTGACGATGTTGAGTTGGCGATTGAGAAGCTTTATATCAACATTAGCAAATGTTATACAAAGAGGCAGACGATTTACCTGCGTTGCCGCGTCTCGAACGATCTTGCCGCGACGGCGCTATTAGTGGGGAGTTGCGGCCGCAATACTCCGTCTGGGTGATACCTGGCGCTAAGCCTGGCAAGTCTTCATCTGGGGTAGCATCCTCATCGACCGCTTTCATAGCCTCCGCCCCTCCAGCATCTGCGTCAAGTTCCCATCCACTTTCTTTAACACTGACAAGGTCAACTCGAATATCGTCTCGAGTTTCTTCATTCTTCGCCCACGCGTCTAGTTCGGATGAAGCGCCAGCAGTAGCACCGAGAACAGCTCGCTCCGCAGGATTGGAGCTTAGCAGTCGGAGAGGAACGCCAACCCTTCCACAGTTCGGCAACGAAAGCAATCCGAGGTAGGCACGGGTAATGAAGTCGTATGATCGATGGAGTGTTTCGATAGCGGTGCGCTTTGGGAGGTCCCAGACACAAACAGTCTTCAAACTGTCTTCACCGAAGGAAACGATAAGCCGGTTGGGGTGGAAAAGGGCCGTCGCAACGTTATTGAAATGGTCGTGGTAGGAATCGACCTCCCATGCTTTGGTCTCGCTCATCCGCCAGTCTAAGCTTTTAATGGTGCGAGCTTCGGCAGCAGAAACGATGAGAGGGAGAGTGGGATGGAACATGGCATAGTTGAAATTGACACCACGTTCATGACCTTCGAGTATATATTTGACGGTCGAGAAGGTATCGAAGAACTCAAAGTTTCCGGGGCCTGTGCTGGTATTCGAAAAGCCATTACGAAGGGCTGAGATGTCCCACACGCGAACAGTCTGGTCAACAGCGCAGCCGCCAACCAGCGATCCACGACCGCAAGTAAAAACAAACCAACACACGCTCCGAGCAGCGCTCCCCTGGTTTTGGGAGCCTATTTTTCGAAGTATAGGGTGTCGCCAAGGGAAAAGCGCAGCATGGTCCCGTTCTGAATCGCGATAGGCAGGAATGACCAGATCGTCTTTCGGAGCAGGCGTAACAAAGTGACAGTGACTGGTGAGTATTGTAGTGTGGCTTCGGGATGTGCTGCTCCATATGTGGATTGTCTGGTCGTCAGAGGCAGCGATCTAGAAGGCCAGTTAGATCGAGGACACGTCCTTTTTTTATGAGCAGGAAAACATATGATCCGTGAGGTTTCGTGGTGATATTGGACAGTCCATACAAAGTCAGGGTCGGAGCAGAGAGCAATTTTGTAGTCTTCGGCACTAGCAGCCAGTAGGTTGCATCTAAAGTCGAGCTCTGAGTTGAATTGAGAAATGAGACGAAGAAGCTGGAGTGAGATTGACTAAAAACACACCGTGGTTCGCTCGGAGATGGCTCACGAGCATCCTCAGTCGACAGTCATGGGATAGCCCCAGAGTGGTATGGTTTTGCTGGTCCGTAGATGGTCGACACAGTCAAAGAAGAGACGATGATTGATGATTCACACGTGACTTGATTTTTTTGTTTTTTTTTTTTTTTTTTTTTTTTTTTTTTTTGTATCTGCATTTCTATACCGCAACAAGTACACTAACTACTAAGACGGCGGTGGCCGGGGCGGCGAATCTGTCTGGCCGCTCGGTGGTGGGATGTGCCGGATTTGGGTCGGGGCGGTTTATGGTATAGCGGAGGGC